TCTGTCTTATACTTTTCTATTAAATCATAAATACACTTTTTCCAAGAAAGGGCTCTGGTATGCTAATACTGTACATTAATGTCTTGAAGATCAAAAATATTTAGAATATTTAGAGAAAGTTCTATCAAAACTAATATATTAAACACCTGTAGGTCAATAATGAAATATAATGTTTCTCTTCATGCCTGGTAAGGACTGGGAATCAGATTCTTCATTTTCCTTCTGCGGTTCTAGGACTGCAAGAAGAACTTAAAATCTCTAGAGAGACTTCTGGGAATTCCCTTTATTGAAGGCTTATTCTCTGTTTTTACATTCTTTTTAAGTGGAAAAAGTTTTATAATAATATCTCCAAACTGACAAGGACGATTTCTCCAGAAACACTGCAGACTTCTGAAACAACTACAGCAGTGTCTATAGGTGAACAGAAGCAGACTGACAGCAACACAGAGTATCTGTCCCGTGCAACTACTTGATGCTGATTTAGAATTTCATGAAAATATTCTGACTGACCTGTACTACTTATTTCACATCCTATGACTATTTTAGATCGTCTCATTCAAACTTAACACCTGTGTTATCGTTTTCAGAATAAGAGATCTCTGGAGTTCAGAATTCAAGGCCACTGATAAGAAGAAATCGTTGTGGATTAGGCTAAAAACTGAGAGGACAAATTCAAAGCATTTTGGATAAGGAGTCCTATGTTTCACCCAGGCAAGTATTTCTAGAAGTCAAAGGCTGAAAGATCCACTTTCAGCCAGGAAGTCTGGTCCTTCCTGCTCTTGCACTTAACAGCTGTACTGCACAGTGAGAACAATTTAAGCTGAGGCTTTGTTTTACCTTTGGTATAATGCAAAGCCATCTTAAGTAACTGAGAAAGGTTAACTGTAGACCACTGAAACTAAACAAAATGTAAAGCTCCAAGGTTTGATGCAAAAGCTCAGTAAGCTAACTCTCCTTTACTGAATTTATATCTGCAAGCTCAACAGTGTGAGGAATGATAATCCAAATAAATTAAAGTTTCCTTCTGTCAGTAAGAACAAGCCAAGGACTGTTTGTGCCCTGTATTTCTCCCAAACTGTGACAACGTTTGCAAGCTAGTCATTCTGTTGGAACTGTAGGATTTCCCTAGCTAACAGCAATAAAGGAACACAGTAAAGAAAATGTGGACTGGCTAATGTAAAGGCCATCAGATTTCTGGGGGTTAAGAGATTCTCCTGTATTGTGGCCCTACACTGGGCTGCCAGTACTTTCACTGAATTTGACTCTGAAGTTACTAGATATCATCTTGCTCCCTCTAATATTAATGGCAAAACTCTCATCAACTTCTCTGGAGGTTAAACAAGTCTATTATTTTCACTCTTTCTGGAGTAGGAATGGTTTGTTTTGATTTAGAAATCTGATTTTCTTTTACACAGGGTGTGCTGAAAAGTCGCAGCAAGTAGCTAAGCTTGTCATGATCAAGTATATATTTAAACGGAAAAGAACACCTTATCTAGGCTGCACATAGAGTCAGGATGCAAAAACTGCCTTTCATTAATAGCTCTGCACTTTTATAATTCTAGTATTTAAGCTAAGTTCATGACTGAAACTGTACTGTATGTCAGCTTCAATGAAACAGCTATTTTATTGTCCTAGTTCAGTTATCTCCAGCTCAGCTTACCCAAGTAACAGCAACATTTCATAAACCTACCAACACTTCTCCAATAAATACTTGCTTCTAACACAGAAGCTGCTGAATCAAGCACCGGACCCTGGCTAGCTGATAGTGTTTGCTCTTCTATTCTACAACATAGCAGAAAATAAACCATGACTGGAATCCGGTCTTGGATTTTGTTCGTCTGCCTTCCATTGTTAAGCAAACAGCAGCATTTACAAGAGAAGGAAGAACCTGCTTAGCGAGCAGGCTCTGGCTTTTGTTGTTTTGTTGGTTAACAAAACGCTCTCCAAACACACAAGTTATGTGAGAAAGCAAAGCAAAATTGTCAAGAAGGAAATAAATATAAAGAAATCATTTTCTTTGTTCATTTTTGAGAGCTCACTCCAGAACACAGATTTACTTTCCTCTCCACTCAAGTTAATATCACCTTCCACAAAATGGGATAGTAAGGTACGTTCTCACAAGGAGGTTAAATAATGTATCATCCAGATTCACTCCGATACAGAGTCCAGATTTTCCTTTTTTCCCCCTTTACCAGGGAATTTATTGGCAATCCCTTCCTCTGATGGTGGCATATAAGCAGGAGGTTGATTTCAGATGTGTGTTGCTTTCTCCTAAACTTCATTATCCTTGATGAGGTTATTCTTTCTTTCTTTCTATCTATCTATCTATCTATCTATCTATCTCAGTATCTGCCTACCCAATCTGCTACATGAAGGGCTCTTCAGGGAAGTGCAGGTAACAGTGCTGGGGAAGACACTCCTTGACTTATTAATGAATCCCTGCAGCAAATAGATTTTTAGCTCTAGCAGTGATTCATTTGAAATAGTCACTGCTGGCAACACTGGCTGAATAAACTGGTCATACACACAACTCCCTACCTCTTGGATGACTTTTACTGATACTCTAGAAACGACTCTTTTTCTCTAGCTTTTTTAGCTGACATCATGCTGGATTCCTAATTCCTCTTTTCCTTCTCTTTCTTCCCCCTCTTTCTCTCTTCTTCCTGCTTTTTTTTTTTTTTCAAAGAGTCCTCTGCTGTAAAAGCATAGAGGAGGGCACCCATGACAACTGCAGATTGTATAAGCTTCCTCATTTAGACTGCTCAAATTTCATGATTAGTCAAATGAATCAAAAAAGATCATTCAAAGAGAGATTATGTGACACAGACGTTAGTCACTAATGCTGGATATTTGGATATACGGTTTTGTATCACCTAATACATTTGTGTCAAGCTTCTATTCATTGGGCGTTTGTCTATACAAAATTATTCAGATTTAGAATGTTTTTTCTGCTTTTTTTTCCAGTCATTGTCATCTTTTCATCTATTTGTCATAGTTCTCTGCAGCTTGGAGAAGGTGTAAGGAGAAGGTCACTCACTTTTTCAGACCTTGTTCCTTTTAGCTTATTCTGCTCCTATGTGCTTCTTAGTCACTAAGTGACAATGGTATAAATCTCAACCCCAAACCCTCCCTTTCCGTTTAACTTACTAGCATCTTTTTGGGGTTTTGTGCTTTTCTGGTTTGAAGGGCAATGCATTATGTCCTGCTGTAGTTGTGTCCTGTGAGTAGCACACCTCACTTTTTGTGAGGTTAATACTATTCTGGAGGCAGGAGCTCTAAAACCTGTCTGAGATCACAAGCTTCAGTCCCCTGCACGATGGAGAGATTCTGTTTTACATTCATGTTTTTCAAGGTTTCAGGCTTGTTTTCAAATGCCAGTCACTATAGAATCACTAGAGCAGGCTTTCACTGATGGCCAACTACTTTTTTCACGTTTTAACACTGCTACTGGCTCCTCGGGAAACAAACTGTGTAGATACCCTGCTGTGTGCTTTTTAACAAGAGCACAAAGCGTGATTACAATTACTCAGCTTTCCCCAATGTCAAGCTCGTAGCCCCAGAGAAAGTTCTGAAGGTTATTGGTACCCTCAGCTCCAGGTACTTGGGAGCTAAGATACAGCTTCTATATCTTAATGATAATTTTTTTCTAGGGAACCTTCTGGCAAGGATGAAGAATATACCCCAGAAAGGTAATAATGAAATGCACATTCTGGCTAAATTAAGAAATCTGAGTAAGGAAAGTAAGCCCATTTTAGCATTTTTACCTTTTGTCAGGGTATTTCCTTTCATTCTACGCTATTAAGGGAGTTGGGTAATATGACAGTATGTGCTCATTACATACTTTTGTGAATAAAATTGAATTTAAACACTATTTTGACCAAAGCAAAAACTTGTTATGTGGCCAGGAGCAGGTGCCCGCCCATGTGTGCCCCCAATCTAGAAAGGCAGTTACCTTCTTTCCTGTTATAACTAAAGAGCCTGTCATGCGGGTCACTGAGAAATATCCAGAGCACTGACTCCAACACCATCTTTGCATTCAGAAACAGCTGCAGAAACCTTTTCTGGCTGCCTTAATGCTTAGAGGTCTTACATGACTTAGAAGACTTAAGTTAACCCCTTCCTTTCCTTTCCGCTCCCCAAAGCCTACAGGAAGGCCCTAATCAGTGGCCAATCCCTACAGTTCATACCTACTCCTGAAACTCGTCTGGATGCTCATGCTGTCCAGGTGAGTACTATAAACACTCTAAACGCTTATATGCTGTGTAAGGGAACACTGCTTTCTTTAAAAATTGGGTATGTTAAAGAAATCAGTTCTGCTCAGTTACAAAGTCACCCTACGACAACTAAGTAATCTGAATAAGTGGAGGCATCCGCTTTACAACGCTCATCATGGACAAGATTAAATACATTATAAACAAGGTAAAGAGATAAGAACAATAGGAAGTTGAGAGCTTCCTGTTGAGTGTATGGGCTTGATTTTTTTTTTTTTATTTTCTTGTTGATGTTCAGAGATCCTAGGCACATAACTCTAGCTCTGAATCAGCATGCTGTTGCCTCCACAGCACAACTTATACAGGAAGATCTAAGTAGATGTTTTGGGTCTCTCCCATTACTGTACAGTACAACATCTGGTGCATTGGCTTACATAAAGAAAACACACAGATCTTTTTTGTAATTTGGAAACTGCATTAAAGCACAAAAACATTACAGCCCTAAAAATGTGTACACCTAGACACGTTAAAAAAACAGCAAATCTATAAAGTGTACATGCATAATTGAACTCTTTTGCTTCTCACAAGAATACACTCATTTTTTGACACAACGATCACAACTACTTATATGCTAGAAAACTCAGAAAATCAGTTTGATTCTATTCCAAATTATATATTAAATGTCAAAAGAATATACTGCTGCAAAGGATCTGGTGGCTTCCCACAATGGAAGTGACTCAGCTAGCTTGTTTAAAGAATGATATTTTAATTGCTTTGTAGATCACAAACCTGCCAGCCTTGTAATTTACACTGCTGAAGAACAAGACGACATCTCTCTTTGGCAGACAACTTCTTCTTCTCTCCTGCTGCTGTATCAGCCAAATCTTTATATCTATAAAAATCAGAGAAGTAGAGTTACTCTATGTTGGCTGACACTGTCAGTTTTCCTCCAGCTTTCAAATCTGTAACGGATAGATATCCAAACTGGAAGCTCAGGATTCTGCTATGGGTGAAGAAAACAGAGAGGCCACTCACTTCAAATCTTTCATATTGTTAAACATGACCTTGGTTAATAATGGCATGGGACAAGTGAGGAAAAGGAGAAAAATATTTTTTCAGTATGTGTCACATTACATGTGGCTATTAAGGAGATATTCCTATGACGGTGACATTGTTAAATAATATAAAAATGTTTTCCACCTTTCTTTTTTTTTTCCATTTTGAAGGATTTGAAGGAGACTTTAAGGAACTTGATCAGTTTATACTATTGAAAAAAAGATCAAGAAGAGACTTGATTACAATGTCAGAGTACCTTCAAAGACAGAAAATTCTAGAAAAAAAAACATTTTAGTAAGTCTAATACTCCAGATTAGCAGTAGGAAACCAGGAGACCCTAGTTTCCTGACAGCTCAGCTAGCTGGATGGTCAAGAGCCTTGCATTATGGACTGCAATTAAAGTTAGGGCCATCTGGTTTCCATACTTGTACCAACTGGATTTTCTTGGGAATCAGGAAGAATCGGAGGTGTTACAGAGAAAACTAATAGAAGGCTTGAAACACAGTCAGCTTACCACCTGCTGACTGAAACAAAGATGATTCAAAGGTGACTCACAACACACAGAAAAGCAACTGTGAAAGCAGTCAGCTCATGCACTGCGGAACCCTAAAGAAATACACTTCATTCCTGAAAAAGAACCAAATCAAAATGTAAAAGGCTGAAATTCTAGGTTTGGACTGGATTTATTTGAGATCATGGACTCAAAACAAGGATAACCAAACATTTCATACAACTGGTATTACACAAGCAGCCAGACAAAAATGATCCCCTGTTTTTTAAAACCTTAGCAACTGTCCCACATCATCCTAGAATTCTAAGTAGAGTTCACAATTCCCTTCTATTCCTTAAAGCAGGCTCTAGCTCAGAGAAAGAGCATGAACTAATTCATGTGGTAACAGAAGAGAAAGAGCTAACAATGAAAATCTAAATTCATTTCCCATTTCTGCCATAAATCTCCTCTATGAACAGAGCAAATCACTTGGAACAGCATCTGCCTCCCTCTGTGTTAGCCACTGAAAGCTATGCGCCTAGTCACAGTTAGTCATCTAGATCTCTCTGTAGTCTCTGGAGATGAGTATCTCCATAGGATGATTTATTCTATGCATCATGGACATTTTTCTTGAATAAGGATAGATTGCCCTCTGGAGGTACCCTTCTCTACTGACTATAGATGGAGCTTAGAAGAGAAGTCTAGACTGGATGCCTGCATTTTAGGCGGCAGAGATGAATCTCACCTCGAGGTCTACCTGTCGAACATACTTATCCGCAGAATGGGAACTAATAGAACTTCCTCATTTCTCCTATCTATCTTGTTCAGATATATTGGCTAACTAAGCACCCAGGATGAAGAAGCACCTTTATCCCTGGTAATATCAACCTCTGCCATCTCAGACCATAGCTGCACAGCCACTTCAGTCATGTATAAGAGTGAATGGCTGCTGAAGAGCCATCAAAAATGACAACAAAAGTGTAGCTAGTTTTCAGTCAGATTGGTTCCCTGAATTGACTGTCAGCTCAGTTCTGCAAATCCTAGCGCTGCCATGAGGGAAATAACTGGAATCGGTAAGTTGTGATAGGCAGACCGCACCTGTTGGTGGCAGCCCAATTTTATCCTAGAAAAAAGTGGCTGTGTAATCATAAGCTTATTTCTTTTTTTTTTTGCACCTAATTTTAAATATGATTTAAAGTATTTCAAATTTCTTTGGTATTTTTTTCCTCTTGGGTGAAAAAACAAACCATACAGCTTTGGTTTAGGGATTTACTGTATTTTAAATATGCCATTAACCCATTGCTAAAAAGAAAGTAAAAAGAAATTGATAATAAACTAAGAAATAATAAAAAAAAAATAAACAGCTCATTATTACCAAAATAAAAAATGACTTTAAGTATCAAATCTTTTCTACTGTGAAATGAAGCTTGTTACCACGTAGACACGTAGACAAAATAATTTAGTGTCCTCTTAAACTTAGCCCTTCCACAGCCTCAAGAATAGCAAAGAAAACTTATTTTTTGTTAAACTTACTATATCACAGCAAATAGTAATAAACAGACACTACTGAATTTATGGATCAGGCTTGTATAGATAACTTGAGTTTACTTGCAAACAGCAGGCCTTGCTTCTGAAATGTAACCTGGAGAGTCTTTGAGATTTTCCCTTACCAGAGAATTCTTCTACCACAGCCTTAGTTCATTCTTGTGTGAATCACCAAAACTCATTAAAAACAGGCTGCTTCTCAAACGGCAGGTCATATATGTTAACCCACCAAAATAATGCAGAATGCAAGGCATTAGAAAGGTTGCTGAGGGACCCAGGGACCAAACTCGGTGCTACCTTGTTAGAAAAGACTTCAGTCAGGTGGAATTCATCTCAGATAAACATAGATTGAGGATTTAGTTGTCTGGACTTTCATAACCGTCTGTGGAAGACACTATTGTGATACCGATGTTTAAAGCAGGTCAGATGGATTGTGCACTGTAAGACCCCATTCTTTCCATTGAGTATAAAGGTAGTCTACGCTATTCACTCCAGCATAGTTAGTGGATGTTAGGCAAGGTGAATCTTTCCCCTAGGCAAGTGAAAAAGCAGATAAAAATCAAGATTTCATGGGCTAGCCAGAGGATCTCATTCATTAATGTACCTAAACCAAAATATAAACCAGGGAGATTCAAGGGCCTGAACCGAATCAACATCTCCCCACTCCTCCACACACCACCACATCAACATCAGTCTAGCGTCAATTAGGAGATGTGAGACCTCTTTGCTTACACCCACATTCCTGTTCCAAGTAGAGACAGGAAACGTTATCATCAGGGGAACACTCCCCAGCTCTGTCCTCGCTGCAGGAAATCAGCCTGAGCGAAGCTCCACTTTCCCTCGCTTTGCCCACAGGGCTTCACATCTTCCTCTTCCCTTCCTTTATCAAATTTTTACACACCTGAACAGAAGACACCGAGCTTTTGGCCAGACAGCGTAGCCTTGTCAGCATGTGCTGTCTGGGACCTTCTGCTGCTGCAGAAGCTGCGCTCTGACCTCTCTTTGCTTCTGAATGACGTCCTTTATCAGAGAGGTTTTTTGTTTGTTCGGACTCGATACTGCTACCAGTACCTCCAGGTAGCTTGTGAATATGGAAAACTCTGTTCTCTCGGGCCTTCACAGATAAGCATGTTGTCTGATCATTTTCTTCCTCCCTTCCCTCAGTGCACAGCCAACAAGATCCAGCAGGCTGCTTTTTTTCTGAGACAGAATATCCCCCAGTTCAGGTTATGGCACAGTAACCCACAGTAATATTCCCAGGCTCAGCATGCTATTTGATTTATACAGAGAGTGAACAACTAGGCTGTAGGGCTGTACTCCCAGTTCTGTATGCACAGCAAACCTTTAAGCCTCAGAATAAACACCAGGTACTCGATTTCAATAGCACGTCAACATGACAGAAGATACTAATGGAAAAAAGAGGGCAAGTACCAAGGGCACAAAACCAAGGGGCTCCACATCAAGAGCTTGAACAAACCATGTAGATATCCTCGAACTAAAGCTTCAGACCAAGCCCCTTCCAAATTTATGCTACTGTTTTTCTGAGGGCTCTCTCCTGGCCAGAAAAAGAAAGCCCCAAACTGATGAAGTCAGAGTTATCTACTGACTGCAGTCCAGTGTCCTCAGTAATAGCTTTTAACACTGGAACTCAAATCATTCCTGAAAGCCTCTCCTTCTCTCCACTTCTTTGTCTTGGTATTTAAAAAAATGAAAATCGTGTATGGCTGGCATGTAGCTGCCTTATAGTAGCGCTAAGTAATACAGTTCCAAACATTCAAACACAGTTTATACAAGGAAAAATAATCAGTTCTGCCAGGGTAATTTGTTGTGTTGCAGTTTCATTTTCTCTTTCTTTTGTTTATTACAGTGTATTCCGTTTGCCAAGTTAAAATGGCAGGATTCTGTCAACTCAATTCAAAAGGGAATGCATTAAAGAAGGCCAATTAAAATTAATTTGTATCCTCTGATTCTCCTAAAAAATGTAAAAATTATCATCAGAAAGGAGTAAAAACAGGTTGCGCTGTCTTGCTAAATTCTCTTTTTTTCCTTCCTAAACTTCCTCTTTTCTTCCTTTGACAACCAGTAACAGATTGATGTATTATTATTTCTGTGAAATATGTGAAAGAGATGGACTTTGTTTGCAAAACTTGTCACTGTGCACTCATAACTCAAGACTTTCAGTTTTGTTTGTTTAGATTTGGGGAGGATGGGAGAGTGGGTTAGGCATGGTTTGTATTTGAAAAAACCATAAAGTGAGAGCTGAAATATCTAGCAGCCCTATTTACTGCAAAGGGAATCCTTTTTAAGGAAAAGAAAGGATGTCTGGAAAATCTGCATGTACTAAAAATCTAGTAAAAACAACCACCAGCAAAGAACTGGACAGAATTTTGATTAATGCTATGTATATATAAGTGATACATACTCACTCCAGTTCCCTGTGTTATACCGTTTTATTAAAGGAATAACCTAATTATTTTTGAAACATGAGGAACAAGGGAAATTCTAGATAATTAGAAAAAGGGAAATAGCGTACTATAGTTTCCAAGAAAAGAAAAGCAGACTGATTCTGCCAATTTCTGTACAACATACATACAATGTAAATCTCCAGTCACATGACACCAATACTAACATCAAAAGCATGTATTCAAAATTTTGGACAGAATAAATCCTTGGATGGAAAGAAGAAAAAGATGCCTTTATAACAAACAGATCATAGCAGACAAAACAGATTACATTTTGGGTTTCTTTGACAGGATTACAGAAATATAGTATGAAGGGACTATCAGATTCACCTTTATATT